ATTGTGTGAAGAGTTTTGCAAAAGTGGCCTAAGTATTGTGAAATGCGTCCTAGCGGCTGTAAAAAACTGTAAAGTGGAAAATAGAAAAGTCACAGTAATGTAGTGTACTTTAAACAGAATGTACCCAGTCTAATACATTCACTGATCAGGCATAGCATTATGACCACTCACAGGTGAATAACACTGATCATCTTTTCATCATGGCACCTGTTAGCAGGTGGGATATATTATGGAGCAAGTGAGCATTTTGTCCTCAAAGTTGATGAGTTAGAAGCAGGAAAAATGAGCAACAGTGAGATTGACAAGGGACAAATTGTGATGGCTAGATGACTGGGTCAGAACAACTGGGTCAGAACATCCCCAAAGCAAAAGCAGCTCTTGTGAGCTGATCTGCACTGGTCAGTATCTATCAAAAGTGGTTCAAGGAAGGAACAGTGGTGAATCAGTGACAGGGTCATATGCAGCCAGGGCTCACTGATGCATGCAGTGAGTGAAGGCTGGCTCATACGGTCTGACCCAACAGATGAGCTACTGTAGCTCAAATTGTCAAAACAAATTACTGCTGTTCCTGATAGACATGTGTCAGAATACACAGGGCATCACAGATTGTTGTGTATGGGGCTGCATAGCTGCAGACCGAACAGGGTGCGCATCCTGACCCCTGTCCAATGACCAAAGCACCAACAATGGACACAATGGACAGGAGCAATGGAAGAAGGTGGGCTAGTCTGATGAATCACATTTCTTTCACATCAGCGTGGATGAATCTTTGGCTGTGATGTCTATTTCATTTATAACCTATAGCACATTTAAACAACAGAAGAGCTCAAAGTGCTAGGGATAGGGATAGGCACATTTACATTTCAGGTCTCCAAGAAGAAGTTTCAAAATGCATGAAAAGCTAAAAGGTGTGTTTTGTTGTGATAACTAATCATTATTACTGTTGAAATCACAATGATCGAGTGGTCATTAAATTATATTCACAATTTGCAAATCACGGATGATTCGTCTCATACTGTAAGCCATGACACACTGCTATACCCTACATAAGTTGTCTTTATCTGGTATCAGATCGATACCAAAAACACAGGACTATTAGACACTGACCCCTAAGGCATTACCCAGCATGCCATCACATAACCATAAAAAACTGCTGCATGCCCATGGCATGGTGTCATATTGCAAGCAACAGTAAAGAAATAACCAGGCTCTTCAGTTTAAAACATAAGTTAGTGAAGAGGGGGCGACCTAATAGTATTAAATAGTGTCTTTTAAACATGTATGATGTTTGATTGTAATGAATGGTTATAGTTCCTACACAAGCTCATAAAAACCTCAGTGAGGTGTGTGTGTGTGTGTGTGTGTGTGTGTGTGTGTGTGTGTGTGTGTGTGTGTGTGTGTGTGTGTGTGTGTGTGTGTGTGGGCACGACCCCACAAATCCCTTATGAGGGCTTCTCTAACTGTGAGGTTGCAAACGTTATTCTTTCTGTGAATGGAAAAGAGAAAATGCTGTATAGATGCCAGCCAGCCAGACAGAGATGGAAAGAGACAGGAGGAGGGGGTGAGGGGGGGTCATCCTTATCTGCTAATGCCATGAAATTCAAGACGGTGCCCCCCAGCTCGTACCCTGCACAAACACGCACGCGCAGAGCTCAGCGCACAGACACACATAGAAAAAAGCAAATGCACGAGAGAGGAACATACACATATCCTAATTTAGACAGGCATTTCCATTCAAGCACATACACACAGCATAGCAAGGGCACACACGGTTATTCTCGGGAGCTTATTGCTTTCCCCGCAAACCTTCACGAGTACTGGCTGGAGACAAAGGTAAGGACGATAAATCAAATCTAATATGGAAACTAACATATACTAGGCTTAATGTGGCTCTGTGGCCGTAGAGAGCACGCTGTCCAAGCAGAACTTTATGAATTTATGTTCAATGAGAGTGTGTCGTGATCAGTACAGACTCTAGAAATGGTAACACGTATTGGTTTGCTCTGTGCTCTGCTATAATTAAATGTCTCGCTGGTGATTCCACTGGTGTTTCCCCCCATGCCTTCAAAGATTTTCATATTGTCGTCTATAAACCACCAGGGAGTTTGAGACAGAGAGGTTTTCTGACTTTGACATTAGTCTGATATCAGACACATATCAACTTATTAAATCATAAGTTAAGTCACAGCCGGGATGATCTGGAGGTCTAAGCGCCAGGCAAACCACCACATAAACTGATATAAAACATTTTTCTCTGGTCTTTGAAATTAAGAAACTAAAAATAAATCTTTTCCTCAGCCCAAACGCTTTTCAAAAATAGTTTCTACAGCTGTATCATTATATATTATAATATTTAAACATCCTCACAGTCATAAAACTGTGAATTTCATTATTACAAACAGCAGCTGCTCGCGCGCTACACGCGAGGGGGCGGGGCTACACTCTTACGCTGTATTTTTTTCTCGCTTTTACTCTTTAGTTTATCCAATCAGAAAGCACCTGGTTGTGTAACCGTGGTTACCGGTACAGATGTATTATGGGATATGCACATGGCAGCGTCCAAGTGAGGGAATGCATGTCAACAGAAGGATTCTGCGCTGTATGTTCGGCGTGGTTTCGGGACCTGCAGATGAATTCAGGCGCTTTGGGAGGTTTCCGGGACTCCGTGTCGAGCATGTTTGTATTACTAATGTTTGAGTTTTGCTTTTTTAAAAGAAGACAAACGTTTCCCTTTCTGTGCAGTCTTGTACGTTTACTCATGATAGCACTTTGTGATTTGAGACCACGTATCACACACCAGCTACTCGTCGGTCCCGAGTTTGAACTGATGATTTTAAAAACTCTCAATTAGTAATTAGTGTCATAATGAAATTTCCTGAATAAAACAGTTGAGTGAAGAGTTAAAAGAAACGATAACAGCTATTCCCTCTAAAGTTTGATACTCCAAGTAAAACTAATTTATGAAATTATTGTAAACCACAGTATGATGAGAAATGAGAAACAGTGCCAACTTATCAACATAAAGGTTTTTATTAAAGCTGGTATATTAGCAGTGCATTACTGACTACCCTAGTGGTTGCTACAGATTGTTTAATACAGCTGTCAGCTCAGTTATTTGTTTAAAAGATATCAATAATAAAAATAAAAGATATTCATGGATTAAGAAAAGAAGGGGCTGTTTATTTATAGTATTTACAGTTCTCTGTTGTGTCCTTGTGTTTAATATGTTGATTAGCTTTCCTGAAAACAGAGCATCAGTCTATCAGAAAAAGTTGAAGCTTTAACCTATTGTCTATATAGTGTCAATTCACTGCAACAGTTGCCTCTGTGAGCTGTATATTGCAAGATAATGACTCTACAATATTAGAAAGCGCCCAAAATCAGAGGCTCCCTTATACGCAGCACTTTGCGATGGCGGGAAGGAAGAATTCCATTTTAACAGGAAGTGACCTCTCGCTGAACCAGGCTCAGCCTTATGTTACGCTCAGTTGAAAGCTGAGGGGAAACAAGGCAAATAAAAGGAAGAGCAGAGTTTAGCTGTGATATAACCACGGCAGACCGGCAACAAGTTTCTGCTTTTCAGCATTAACTTTATTTACACAATCGGTCGCTGTTTACAAACACACACGGCTGAAACTTTCCAGCTGCCAGCCGAACACTAACAACAAAACTGGAATCCAGGACCCAGCACACTTTTAACCTGACGAGGCGTGACTACGGATGCCCTGCAGGTGCGTTTGCCTCCCCTGCAGCGGCACCGCCGACCACGCCTCGCCACATTAGTTTAACAGTGGTGGAAGTGTGTAGAGTTTACACTTTTTGCTGTTCTATGCACTTTATCCAAACTATATGGTGCTTTTCTCCCTTTGTGCAACTATATATGTTACTTCAGTATGCTTTCCAAATAGAGCTAGATATAACAAAGTGAAGGATCACCAATAGAAACTGTTGTCTCCTTCCATGGCAAAATATGAGAGCTAATCCTCTGTTCAGCTGATGGAAAGCATATTTGATTTGATTGGCACATCATCCTGGTGGAGTGGATGAATTCAAAAGATTGGACGCAGTTATCTCTACATTTTTAGATGGTAAAGCTGTGACAAACGACCCTTACTGTCCCTATCTATTCTGTGTTCCCAGATTAAACTAACACAACCCTACTTGTCACAGCCACTGCTGTCATCATGCCTGGGGAGGATAAACCACCACAACAGGCCCGCCAGAGGAAAAAGACCAAGAAGTCCCGCTCCAAGGGAAAGAGTCCCACTGGGAGTCCTAGTGCCAGCTTGGCAAGCACTTTAGACGGGCAAGATGAGTTCATCTTCCCCCCAGTCGTGCAACCTCCACCTAAAAAGTCTACGGAGGAGAGGAAGAAAGTGCCTGTTGCCAAAGTAGAGGAAGAGACATCCATAGCCATCTGTCTTCAGGTGGTTTTTCCCTACCTGCTAGCTGGAATGGGCATGGTGATGGCTGGCATGGTGCTGGACATTGTACAGGTAAGGTCCTTAGGGTAGCTTGGAGAGTGATATCACATATTGAGAGTGAAAAAGCATGAAGTATGTTAACATAATAGTGGATATTGGGGCCTACTAGCTGACAGGTAAACCTTCAGGCTGCTCATTTGAATCCCTCATCAGATGCTGGCATCACCGCTCTCCAAGATGATTTTTTCGGGGATGGTGTACAAAAACTATGATTAGATTTACCCCAGTGTAAATGTAGCAGCTATGTCAAAGGATACAATTATTAGACCCTCTTTAAACCCCCAGAATAAAACCTGACCATTTTTTTTCTTAGTGCCTAAAACACAGGTATAGTGGTGTCAAAAAGTGTTTGCCTCCTTCCTGATTTCCTAGTGTTCTGTATATTTGTCACACTTGAATGTTTCAGATCATCAAACACATTTTAATGTTAGACCACGATAACTCGAGTAAATACAGAATGCAGTTGTTTTTTTTTATGCTGATTTCACTGATTAAGGGAGAAAAGTTACCCAAAACTACCTGGTCCTGTTAAAATGGCCCCTTTTGTTAAATCATAAATTAACTGTGATTAACCACACTTTTTGGAAAGCTGAGTTCAGTTTCACTAAGCACACTTGGGCTCGATTACTGGACGTTAGTGGTGCAACGGATCACGGTTGATCCGTAATCCGAACCGATCCCACTCCACGGTTCAGCACGCACGTGATCTGAAGATTCAAAAAAGAAGAAAAAAAAAAAGCGATAGTTATGGTCAGCGCTAGCGGTCCAAGTGGCGGAGCAGAGGAGTTTGCGGTACTTAAGCAGCCCTTTGCTGCCCAATCTGACCGGGCTAAAGCTATTACAAAAGCTATTGGGGTGTTTAGCTGCAGACAGGAGGCCGTATTCCATTGTGCTAAACAAGGGGTTTAAACTATGATGAACGTGCTTGAGCCACGCTATGATATCCCGTTGCGCGTCCACTTTAGTGGAAAAATCGTTCCAAGCATGTATGAGCAGGCGAAGATTAAAGTTATGGCTGAACTGTCCCAGGCATCTTCTGTTGCCCTAACTACTACAAATGGGTGTAGCGACGGAAAGCTACGTGACCGTGACTGCTCATCATATCACAGCGGAGTGCGATATAAGGAGCAGTATGTATTATTGTAGGGTCTACCTTACAATATAAAGCACCTTGAGGCAACTGTTTTTGTGATTTGGCGCTTTATAAATAAAATTGAATTGAGTGGTAGATACAAAGACTGTACTGCCCTATATTGAACCATAAATTTTTTAGAATAATTGCGTGGAATGAGTCTTGAGTTGAATGTTTTTAACAGGCAAAAAATACTTCAATAAGTGAATAAGTAAATGTTACATTTTTGTCTTTTTCTTTTTTTGCTGATCTGAAAATTGATCCGATCCGTGACTTAAAACCGTGATCCGATCCGAACCTTGAGATTTTTGATCCGTTGCACCACTACTGGACGTCCTGTTGAATGAAAAAATTACTTAAATAGAAACCGTCTGACAAAGTGAAGCAGGTTAAAAGACCTTAAAAAGGAACACATCATAGCACATTTCTAAGGTTTTGGGACTCCAGTGAGCCATTATACATAAATGGTGAAAACATGGAACAGTGGTGAAGCTTCCCAGGAGTGACTGGCTGACCAAAATGAGATAAGAGCACATCGCCGACTCATCCTGGGTGTTACAAAAGGATCCAGAAGAACATTAAAGAACTGCAGGCTTCACAGATCTAAGTTAACAGAGTATTAAACTTTTAAGTGTGACAAAATAGGAAATCGTGAAGGGGTAAAACATCAAAATTTGTCTCCCTTCATTTTACATATAAAGTACTTCATAAGTAAGTGTTTATTGTACAGGGAAGTTATTTTCACATTGTCTGACATGTAATGTACAACAGAATATTAAGGCGTCTCTTAGCAGACAGTAAATCTATGCACACAGTGGCAGGCTGTTTTCCGTTAAGGAAAGATCTCTGACAGATTTAAGAGCTAGGAGACCAGAGGCACAGCAAAATACGTCAGTAATGACCCAGATGGTTACTCTCTCACGTTAAACGTGTTAACGTAAGGAGAGAGAGCGTCACAATAATGAAAAACTGGACAGTACACAGAGACTTTATGTTATTGAATAAATAACAACATGAGCGACATAGTGACTCATCTGTCCCATCTGTTCGTCTAAGTGTGTATTTTTGTTTGTTTTTGTTACACGTGGAGGGACTGTGTGTATGCTTGTGTGTACTTGTTACCTTGAAATAGTCTTCTGGCTCAGAGCAATAAAGCCATCTTCTTCTGACTTAAGTATCTCTGATCATGTTAACATGGTGTACACTGGGCCAGTAATGTCAGAAGTTATAAACTGACTGGACGGGCAAAATAGCCTTTTGAGTGAGTTGAATGCACCCCAGGGCATAGCTGCTGCTGTCCCTGGTGAATATTTTGATACTATTACATCTTCAGTAGCATGTAACAGTGTAGATCAATAGTTAAGAGATAGCAGCCGGTGTGTGGGCTAATATTATTACATGTTGTATGTGCATCAAACATAATGTCCTACACAAATGTATGAGATCCACGTTGCACAATGTGATTTGCAGTGAACTTAGAAGACTACTATAACTTAATAGTTACAGTGTATAAAATCTTTCTGTGCTAGATATCAGTGTATTGCAGTTCTGTTTTCTTACCTCTCCCAATTCAAGTGCATAATCCTTGCTACATTGGCTCCTGTAAGGACAAACATGTTTTAGTTAGCTAAGAGAGATCAAAACATTCCACTATGTTCAAAAACCTAACATCATGTTTTAGGGTACATTATATCATAACTGCCACGACTACACAACAGCTTATGCCTATAATCGAGATTTTTCCTTTCTGTGGAAGGCAATCAGACCTCTGTTTATCTCAGCTGTCAATGCTGGGTGAGAAGCATCCATGTGTAGCTGTAAAACTGTAAAAGGAGTTCAATACAGGCGAGTCAGTCAGTAAAGCTCACCTCTGACTGATGACAGCCATACTAAGGTGAGCTGTTGAAGATATCCTGATAGATAGTTTTAGTTTGTGCTAGTGAATCTAACGTGGATTTAACATTGTTGGACTCGTACAGTTAGGGAATAAAAAGTTCATAGAATGTGAGAATGTAATCAAAATGTTTATCAGAGGAAAAGTGGGATTTTTATGACACTTGAATCTAACATAAGCTGGCATAATGTTACCTTAAAATCAGCTGTTGTTGTTCACCCGGCTCGTTGTCAACTCTCCAGAGACAGGAAAGTCGCATGTCTGATCTACTGGCAATATGTCACTGCAACAGTATTGGGAATAAATAAGCATGTTTATGCAAGTTTTCATGTCTTAGAGTGTGAGTTCTGTTTAGGAGATTAATCTTGAGGTGAGGAGGAAGAGGATGAAGATTTATTTAGTTGCAAGTGGTGTTATCTCTTTGATGAAGGGGGTCCATTCTCAGATGATAAAACAAGTTCTCTTCTAGTCCCCATTTGGCATACTACATACATGGCCTGTCTCTACCATTTATGTAAAACACCATTAGTTGGAAGAAAATGATGACTTCCAGAAACTGCAAACTCACTCCTATATATTATTAATAGATTCATTACATGTTTATGAGAATGCAGTTTATTTGAAAATGTAGTTACACACTGCTGTACATGTACATAGACTATAGGATACTTTTTTTTTCTATTAAATGACCTCAAAAATTTGTGACTATACCTTTAACCTTCCCATCAGTTCTTAATTAAATGTCAGTAATATCCTTGGTCAAAATACCTCAAGAATATAACTGACTGATGGCTGTGTTTTCTACACAATGGTATAGAATCATACTGTAGGATACAGTATAGGAATATAAGGTGGAAATAGTGAGATAGTACATTTAATAATGAGTTTGAGCTAGCCGTGTCTGTCCTGTGCCAGGTGTCCCTGGCTTATAGTCTGCAGCCATCTGAGCTGAGGGAAATCAGACACACTGCTGTCTGCTCTATGATGAGCTGGTCTCTCTCTTCCCCTCCGTCCTCCACTGATAAGCATACGTCTGTCCTCATATGGCTACTTCCCTTTACTCCATCTGTAGCTCATCAGTATTTCTTCCCACTCTGCAGTCTACAGTATCAGTTTCCCTCCTGCATCAGATGGAAGATTAGTCATGAGCTTGGCTGGGAGCTGTGTCTCAAAGCACAGCGGACGCACAAGGACGTGGAGAGTAGCCGATCTAAAATGTCGATAAAGATGGCAACGCTACACTATCAGCAAAAACCATTGTTACTGTGGCCTGTGATGGTAGCTATTGTCTAAACAACCACATCCTGTTGGCCTGTCTTTCAATTACATCCAACATGCAATTTGTTGGGGTCTTGTTCACAACTGACGGGAGAGGGGAATGGGTGACTGACAGATGGATTGGTGCTGCGCCTGCAGTGATGTCTGTCGCTGTAAAGAGAGAACGAGGCGTAAAAGTGAAGCTCCCGATTGTCTGGCTGATCTACGTCCCCACTCTCACCTATGAGGGGACAAGCAGTGGAAATGAGCGTTCTCCAAAGGGTTGCTGGCCTCTCTCTTAGAGATGGGGTGAGGAGTTCGGCCGTCCGAGAGGAGCTCAGAGTAGAGCCGCTGCTCCTCCACATCGAAAGGAGCCAGTTGGAGTGGTTCGGGCTTCTACAAGGATGCGTCCTATATGCCCCCTCGGTAAGGTGTTCTGGCCTGGTCCCACTGGGAGGAGGCCCTAGGGCAAAGACACGTTGAAAAGATTATATCTCTTGGCTGGCGTAGGAATGCCTTGACGTTGCCCCAGATAACCTGGAGGAGGTGGTCAGGGAGAGGGAGCTCTACCGCCACAACTCGGCCCTGGATAAGCGGAAGAAGATGAAGTAGATGGATGGACAGACGAAGGCAGTGCCATTTGTGTCAGCTTCTCTTTGTTCTGTTGGTTGGCTTCCAAATTAGAGCTCTATAAAAGCTCGCTCCATAAAATGTGAAATTAGATCGTCC